CTCTGAGAAACACACAGTGTGGTTCATATTTACATGAAAGTTTGGTATACATCCATTTAGTCAAGCTTGCCAACATTATGTATTCATTTGGCCCATGAGGCCTCCTCATTCATAAAAAATTAAAAACAGAGCCCTGGCTACTCAATTGCTCTAATTATTTAAAGATGTTTCTGATGTTGGCAAGGGCTACAGTACACATAATTCAGCCTCCCTACCTTTCTCAAGAACTAGACAAACACATCAAAGTATTTTATATAAACCTTAAAGGACATTGGTTGTTTTATTTACTTCAGGCTCATTTCAATATAAGTTCTTTAAGCAGCTAAAGCCAAACAATATTAACCCCCTATTTACCTTGTCATCCCAATTATACTTCCCACTCTGTTTTCTCTGACTTTTTTTTTCAGGTATAAATTGTTTTTAAGAAGAATTTGCCTTAAGTGTAATAATGCATAAGTTAAGATTTTATTTAATGACGTTTGAGAAATGTGGGAAAACTGCAGAATTTGAACCCCACTTGTTAGGAGTTAACTCCAACATGTGCAACCATGCTCTCTCTGAACACAGCCATTACTGCCAGGCTGTGTGTGACATCTTGGGGTGTTGTAAGATTCTGCTCTCTGATTCCTGTGGTAGTATTTGGTTGAAAAGGCTCAAGGGTAATTGCTTGAGAGCAGAAAACTTTCTCCTTTCCATTTAAGCACCTGGACGGGATTAGATATGACATAGCTAAATGTTGTTTTGCAGAAATCATTTAATTTTTCTGTTTTCTGTCCTTGTATGTGGAGTCAGAACTGCCTCACTAAGCCCACACTGATCAGCTGAGAAGATGCATCCAGCACTTTCTGTGTAATGATCACAAGCCATTCAGACTTCAGTCTTGGGTCTTACATATTTCCTACTCATACCTGGAGAGAAAATGATTTCATGATTATAGAAGACTGGCCACAGCCTCATGCCAGACCTTGGGTCCTACAAGTGAGATAAAGATCTGGTATGTGAGAAACTCTCTACTTTCCAGTGGGAAAAATTTCCTAAATTTAGACTTCTCTAAAAATTGCACAGGCATATCTTTTTTTATAATATACCTGAAGAGCATTTTCTTTGCCTATGCCTGCAGCAGTGAAGCCAGAAATTCCTCCTCTGAGTGTTGTGGAGATGAACAGAATGGGCTGGACTGGTGCACACACCTGCTCCACATGACCTATATGCCTGTCAACCCTTTGCACAGACCTCTTGGAAGCAATTTATGGCCTTTGAAATCACCATCCTCTGCTCTCACTTAGATTTTGACCCACTCTGTGAACCTACTACACAGTAAAACCTCTCTCTTTTCCTCTTTCAACAGAAGTTTGACCTATTTATGTGACTCACTACAAGAAGGCCAGCTATGATCAAGTCAGTAATGAACTTGGACTGAATTTGAACATGTAAGTGCAAAAAGTGCAAAAACTACAGCTTTCTCTGATGGTTCCCTCACAGTAGGCTCTTCTCTGATCAGGAGCCATACCAGTTGTGAGCAACAAACCCAGAACATGTGAGTTTAATTGCATTTAAAAATAGGGGAGGTTTTCTCTATTTCATTCACCTGTGAATGACTGCATGAAGAAAGAGGGAAGCATGAGGAATCTTACATTTTTTGTTGGCTAAAATACGTAAGTACACTAGTTGTTATTAAAAATGCTTTATTAAAAATTGTTGGTCAGATTTTAATGAGGATTAGATTAAGTGCAGTAAGCTTGCCTTCAGTGAAGTCAGATTTTCAGCTGCTACCACCCAGCTGTTACCCAAAGCAATGTTTTTCAAACAAACACTGTGTACCTTGAAAATTCTGCATGACAGATGAGCTCAAAGTGCAGATTTATTTAAGGGTCTTTATTTAAGGTCCATCAGCAAGTGTCTAGTCTTCCAGGTTGCTCTGTTTGAAAATACCAAACTTCCTTACCGAGTCTTGGAGGGATTATCTCCTCTGTCAGAACTAACACTGCCTACATACATCATATCTCTATTTCTGCTGTTTTATCTTCCACAGTGAAGGTAATATCTGAGTAGGTCAATTAAATTTTCTTCATAAACTTAAAAACCTTCTCAACTCTCTTTGATTCTCTGGTCTTATTCACTGGCTGCTTCAGGGGACAGATAAAGGGTCTGCATTCTTTTGCTTTCAGGCTTTGTTTCAATGGATCATGATAAATCCTGCTTTAACAAACATGCAGATGAAAATACAGCACAGCAAAACTTAAAAACTACTACCACAAATACTACTAAGAGTTAGCAGAAAACCAACTGAGGTGGAGGCCTCAGACTAGAAGCAATGGTGGAAGACATGAACACATACAGCTATAGAGCACTTGTCCATCCCCTAAACAATCATGTTCAATAGCTTTTGTCTTCAAATTAGTGGCTTCCTGACTGCACAGCCATCTCTTTTGCAAAAAAAAAATCTTTCCCCGTGGCAAATCCCAGCACCAAAGTAGAGCCATTCAATGTGTCTACCTCTTGTTTCTGCCCTTTGTGTTGCCAGCTCTTGGGTGGCTGGAAATTGCCTCTGTCAGGAAAGAGCAGAGGCACTCAGAAATGCTGTGATAAAAAGAGACAGTCAGTGCCCTCCTCAGTGTTTTGTTTTGATATTCCTCAGTTCTCCATTACAATTGATAAAGAGAGGCTGAATAGCCTGAATAATAACAAACCAGATAGTTTTCTTTTTCTGCCTACTCAGTGTTTCTGCTCCACAGTTCCTGGGTTGATAATTTTCAGGATGCCAGGTTAGCTCTCAGGCAGCAATGCAGAAATGTGCCACCCAACCAGCAGTATTCTTGACCCTGAGCCAGGAGTGGAGCCAGCAAGGCTGGGAGAATAAGGTGGGTGCAGAGTGGACAGGGCTGCACCATTGCTTGTTTTTGGGAGCAACAAAGCTGTGTTTTCACACCACTTTGAGAAAAGTCCTGCCAGCACCACACTGGCTTTTTGCCCCTGGTATAATTTACCCACAAAAAAGATAATTCATCCATGGAAAATGAAAAGTGGATCTATCAGCTGTTTCTTTTGTAAAACTGCCAACCTGCAGCAACAGCAACGAAGCAGGACCTGGGTCATGCGCTGTTGCTCCTGCTTTGACGCCTTGTTGACAGCGTTCCACATGCCAACAGCTACAACCCTCAGTGAGCTGATGCAGGCAGCAGAACCTGAACCTCAGGGGGAATTTTTGCCTCTACCAGTCATCCCATATCTGGCTTCTCAGTTCCATCACTTAACACCACTCCAGCTAGTTTGATGCAGTCCTGTTGCATGCTCTGCAGGTGCCTTTGCCACCCAACCATGGTTTGGTTTGCCAGAAGCTCAGTCTTCAGTTCTCTCACTTGCATTGGTTTGAGATCAAGATTCTTTGGTAACCCACTGACCTGAGACAGCATTACAGGCAAATCAACATCTACATAGATTCCCATGGATTTCTGAAAATAAGCTGCTTGAATGGAAAGCAAGTGGCTAAAGACCAGTGAATGTCTGTGCCCAAAGATTTTTGAGTATTTCATCTGTGCCCAAAGATTTTTGATCTATCAGCATCTGCAGGTAAGGAGTTGTCATGGAGATTTTGGTCTTTCACCAGTACTGGGAAGTGGCACATAGAACCCCAGTATTTAGATATTTGTCCCCTAGTACCCATATACCTCTAAACTTGTAGTCCTAAGGTCCTGATCCTTTTGTCACTCATTATCTGAATAATTAAATCTCACAAAGACTTATTAAAAAGATTACGATATTCTGAAATTGTTAACTTAATAAGACTTGGGGCAATGGGGGGGGGGGGGGGGGGGGGGGGGGGGTGGTGTTAACTGCTAACAGATTTGTTTTCTGAAGAGGCTTTTTGCCAGTCCACTGTATCCTGCTTTGCATGGACTCACCATGTCAAGCCAGAACTCCTGTATTAAGAGAATCAAATGAATTATGGATCATTGTATCTTAGTAACACAGTTGGAGCTTGTTGATTAATTTTTGATATTGTACTGTTTATTAATATGATGCACTGTTACACAGTTTCTGCAGGTACTCGAGTAGATACTTACAAGTAACAGGTAATCACCTTCTCTTTGAACTAAACACCTTTAGGGGACTGTTAAATCAGGAATTACATGTCTTTCTAATGTGTGTTTTGAAGTCAATCTCCTGTATTTATACCAGATTTTTTTTTCCATAATGATCTTAGATTAAACAGGGTACATTCACCCATGGATGTTACCTATACACTTCTGAATACCTAGATGGATTTGCAAAATATAGTTTACATTCTAGTATCCTGGAATAAGATATCAGCACCTTCTGTGGTAATCCCATAAATGCTATGATCTTGATTATCTTAATATATTTTTCTTCTTAAAGTTACCCAGGAATTTTTGGAGATCTGCATACAGATACTTAAAAAACTAGTCCTTTTGTGTATCTCATTTGGCCAGGTCACACTTAAGAAGTTTATTAGCTTTTGAGAGCATTTTACTAAATCCTCACATCCAACTTCATCAGAAAGAACCCTCATGACATACTTCTCTGTGCCCAGACTCGCAGAGTTATTCTGTCACTAATCTTCTGTCTTCAGGGAAACTGCTGGGGGAATATGATGCTATTCACATAAGTAAAGGCATCAAAATCTCTTCAAAAGATACTTTTTCTCTTTAAACCTGATCTACATCTAACTAATCTGGTAGCTATAATTTTTAAGGCTGTATGGTTTACTCTCATCTACTAGCTCTAGTCATTTCACTACAGTGCTGAACTCCACTAGGAGACGGAAAAAATGAGCCACAACATTAGTTGAGTAAACCTTCACTTCTCAAAAAAGAAAAACTTGACAAATCTGACAGGCTAGTGCAAAAGGAGCATAGAAATCCCTACCAAAAATATGTGGGAGGGAACGTATATTTAAAATAGGACTGCCTAATTTGGCTGCTAAATCAGTGTAAGGAGCTCTGTAGTCTTTGTGTGTGGGAGGGAGACGGAAAGAGAGAGGGAGAGAGGAGCAGAGGGAGGGAGTGGGGGAGAGAGAGAGCAATGTGCCTTTCACAGAGCTCGGAGCTTGATGGGAATGTTTGATTAGCTCCTCTCTGAAAGAAAAAAGGTGTTCAGGCCTCCCTCTGCTGCCTGCCTCTCCTTCTCTAGAATAATGTTGGCTGGAGTTTGGGGTACAGAAAAGCTTGGAAAAAAACCCACTTTCATACTGTGTGGAGAAAAGGAATAAAAAGTTGCACAGCTCAAGCAAGGTAATTCTGATGTTATTTTTCTGCTATATTTATTTAGTGGGGAGAGGGGGAAGTTGTGTTTTTGCCTATTGATAATGGTTAAATATTTTCACTGCTGAGAAACTGTAGGGACATAATGTTTTATTTAGCATTCCAGCTGTGTGCTTAGGATCAAATACCTAAGAAGATGAAGACATAAATGTAGAATGAAACTGTACTTTACTCATATATACTTCATAAAGTATTTATGAAAGCATTAAGCTCCTACTGTTAAAGTGCACACATATACTCCCTGCCTGAACAGCAAGGGCTTAACTACGTGATAAAGAATGATGTATACAAGCCGCACACTAACAGACATTTATTCAAGCCTTCTGTTCGAATAGTTTGTGATAGACAATGCAACTTGTTCCTCAGTTTAAAACTGTTTTGGTTTCAAGACTTTTTCACAAAGTCTTTTGATCAATAGGAAGGTGTATGTTGTATCATTAATAAACACTACCTGACACTGGGGAACACTAATCTCCAAGGCACAGAATGGAAAATTATGTGTGTTTCTGTGGTGTGAACTCTCTTGGTAATGGATAGATACAGATGTGTGAAAGCACAGTAGCCTAGACTCCATACATCCTTTTGTGCTGAGTGCTTGTTTTGGTGGTGAGGCTCCAAAAATGAATAGCATTGTCAAGCCTGCCACAGCCGCTCAGCTCTCTGCACAGAGATTAGAGTCTTGATAAGTTTCTTCAAAATGTGATTTCTTTCTGACCAGCACAAACATGAACCAAATGCCCCAAGCTAAGTATCAACTCTAGTTAATCAACTCTAGTTTTGTTCCTAGAGTTTATGGGAACTACACCACATTCAGAGCAAAAAGTAAAATTGCACGTTACAGAGGCAAGTCCTCCTTAGAGCACACTGTTTTTTCTTTAACCTCACCAAAATTTAAACAACACATCAAAACAAGAAAACACACACAGAGAAAAAATTGTGTTTAGATGTTTTTAAAAATATATTTTACTGAGAAAAGACACGGAGTTGTTTATGTTTATAGCTTGCTTTCCTATATATATCCTGAACTTAAAAACACTTTGTATTTCTCTACACTCAAAGAAAATCTATGTTTTTCTGTGTTACCATCTTTTTCAGACTTTACTCAGTCCATCACTTGAATGACAGTCATGACACATCTCTTTCAGAGATGCAAAGAGAACTCAAGCAAAAGTAACTGCATTGCAAACATATTAATTTTCAAATACTAAGTTTGTATCTAATAATAAACGGACTTACTTTGCTTGCATGTTTTATTTAATCCTTTGAGTTGCTGGGGTTGTTCTTACTGGGATGACAAAAAGAACTTTGTCTTTTAGTTATTCAGTACATAAAAAGTATTTTTTTTAAGAAGGAACTTTGAATGTACTGCCAATACTGTGTTTCCACCTGTAGTAGTAATGTTATGTTGTTAACTTGGTCTTTAATTGTTCCTACCTTTACTTAATGTAAGACACTACTTTTCCTAGAGGTGTAATTACAGCATTTACCACTGACTGGTTGAACCAAGCAGTTTTACTAGCTTCACCAGGTTTCCTCACACATAGAATGCAAGAAAGATACTCCACTTGGATTCTCTTTTGTCTAATAAGGATGAGATCCTACAAAAGCCTTTCCTTTAGAGGAGGCATTAACAAGGTGTTCCCTTTTCACCTAGTTACTGACTTTCACAGAAGTAGTAGGAAATTAATTATTACACTCCTTTTTGTCAAAATTAATTTCTAAAAGGGCACTACCTGAGCTACAGTGTGCACTCAGAAGTTGAAAACCAGGCCAATTACTTCATGTGAAATGTCAGAATTATTTATTATTTCTGGCCATTTCTTCTTAGAAAACATTGCTAAAAACAAACCTGATGTTTATGTTACAATGGCAGCAAAAACTTGACTGTATCTGCTCTGCCTGGAGAATTTTGAACTTTTTCCTTTCCCCCTCTGAACCACAAATAAAGCTGTAGTCAGAAAACACTTTGTGCAACATCCAACTTCTCTGGATAAGCTGTGGCAGTGCCCCAGCACCCTCACAGGGAAGATTTCTTCCTAATACCTAACCTAGACCTACTCTCTTTCAGTTTAAGTGTTTATAGGTAAGTCATTTAAGGCACCTGGATGAAATGAACAAGAAAAAGTGATAGCTCAGTTTATTACCTGCAACTAAGACTGTATTCCTGAAAAAGAGGTGCTGTGACACTTGTAGACCTGAACTGCCCATACAGTGGGACTGGCATGGGCAGGGGCCAGAGCAGCAAGTCCTGTGTTGACCCACTGCAATCGCCTGGGGTGGCAGTGTCTTTTCTGGGTGGGTAATGAAAAACAAAAGTCTGGAATTTCCTGACAGTCCTGGAGGGATGTTCTGGCTCCCTGAAGCTCTGGGTACACAACAGGACTCCTCCAGCCTGCTGAAGCATCACCTAAGATTTCGCTTTCTCATTCAGGGCTCAGGAAGTGGACACTGAACATATAATATGTCCTTCCTTCTGAAAACCTGTCCATCATACAGATCCCATTAATCTGTGCTGAAAAAGAGAAACACAGAACTGCAAAACTGATGGTTTGGGGTTTGAGTTCTTCTTTTAATAAAAGAAAAATAATAATCATAGGGTGTATTGTACATAAAACAGGGAGAATATAGCTACAGTAGTCATAGATCTGCCCTCCACATTTTCTCTTGTGGAGTAGATTTTTTAGTCCAGAGTCGGAGAGAGAAATAGGTGCTTAACACCTACTTAGAGCACTTCAATTCCTCTTTTGAACTTGCCGGGGCACAAGGAGCCCCCTTGTCCCAGCGCTGCCTGGGGAGCCTGCGCTAGCGCTCAGCTGGGACCTGGGACAATGCCGCCCCTGTTCTGGGCCCGGCTGTGGCACAGAGACTATAATTATCTCTCTTCTAATGACCAGCCAGGCAAGATAACAGTTTTCATGCTATGTTTAGAAAACAATGTCTTACTACAAATTGACGGTTCATTCGTCCGTAAAAAGAGCCTCTCGAACAGTCCTAAAGCAGCTGCCACTCGTTTGCATCCCAGCTCCTTTATGTGCCGCACATTTCCCTCTTGGAAAACCTGGGTAAATGCTGCAGAGGCAGCGCAGCTTCCCGCTGCCACACAAGAGGCTCAGAAAGGCGCAGAAATGCCCAGAAAATCTGGAGCTTTAGATCTTCCTTCCACACCTTCCTATTGATCAAAAAGACTTTGTGAAAATGTCTTGAAACCAAAACAGTTTTAAACTGAGGAACAAGTTGCATTGTCTATCACAAACTATTTTAACAGAAGGCTTGAATAAATGTCTGTTAGTGTGTGGCTTGTACACATCATTCTTCATCACGTAGTTAATCTGTTTAGATTGTATCTCTGTTAGTAAATTAAGCCCAGCCTATCTGTCCTACCAGAGCCTGCATCGCCCCTGTGAACTCTCTGAGCCCCCAGCCCAAAGGGGCTGCAGGCAGAGCTGTGAGCAGGGCAGGAGTAAAACTGCTTTGTGCAGACTTGTGATAATGTCTGGTGCAAAGCAAGCTGATGCAAAAAGAGGGATGTGAAGGGACTTGTTCAGATAAAACCGGAGCATGTATTACTGATGAACTTTTCTTCCAGCACTGTGGCCCATAGACAAGTCAGGATTTACTGAAATTCTGTAGGCTCCAAAGGCATCTGTGGGGTAGCTGTACTGGCCAGCTGCGATTGTAGCTTGTGTGGGGGTAGCTGCCCCTTTCAAACACCGGGAACTGCCAGGTTTGGGCAGTCCTGGCAGCATGGCACCCATGGGCTAGCTACCCAAGTATTTGCTCTGGGCTCTGCAAACATTCTGCATCTAATTCTGTTCAGGGGCAGCTCTACATTTAGTGCTGTCTGAGGGCTGCTACCACATCCTCTGCAGGTGCCCTGCCAGCAAAGAACAGAGCCCATTCCCTTGTTCTACAGCCAACTCACCCTCATCTCTCTTGCCATCTTGTCTGTTCTCCTCTCCAGCAGGACTTAGCTGGGTTACCTTGGGCTGCCTTTCCTCTCTGGACTCATATTTCAGTGACTGAGGCCTGGATAAAAAAAAACAGTGTTGATCGGAAAGAAAATTTCCCAATGGCTTGGAAGCATCAATATTTCTCATGAAAAATCATTTTAATTAAAAAACAAACAAACAAAACCACCCAAAAAAAAACCCACCAAACAAACCAAAAAACCTCCACCATTTGCAGCTTTTTTGTTCCTTTTTTAAACAGAGCACCCAAATCTATACCTCATTGCCTGGAAACACATTCACATTCAGAAGAATATTTATAAGCATCTCTGGTCCATTCAAATTGTCTAGGTTTAAACAGTTCTTTACATTAGTCTTGCTGTAGTGGCTGAACTGACTTTCTAGCACACATAAGGTCCATCCCACGTTTGCTTTATCTCCAGAACTTCAGAGTGCATTAAGAGGTCAACGGCATATTAAGAACACAATCTGTGTCAGTTATCCTTAATGTGTCTCATTCTACACAGCATCCCACAGACACAGATATAAAAAAGACATTCAGCTTGCACTTGCAAACTGTTGCTCAGCCTATCACCTTATAAAATATCTTTGTAAACGTAACACACGTAACACAGCAGCCAACAGCCCTTCAGCTGGCAGCTTGTTTCATATGAAAAAGCACATAATTGCCAAATGACAGTTACACATGTGCCAGAATTTTCGGGAAGATTCTGAATGTTCCTGTGTAGCTTCATGCAGTCCTTTAATGTCCCCACCAGGATGATCTGGGGATTTCCAACACCTTCAGGCTTGTACACAAAACTGTGGAAATTTTTACCTCTCAAAAATCACTCATTTATGGGGAAGTTTGGACACAGCCATGTCTGTGCCTCTCAATCTCCCTGCCAGGCTCTTTTAGGGACTCAGAAGGCTCCATTCTTTCTTGTTTTCCCCAAATACATCATTTACCCTTCAGCCCATAGAACAGGGGTGAGACATAGAGGAAAGCTGCCAGCAGGGCTG